TGCACCCTTTTTCACCCTTGACATGCAAAGGAAGGACATGCACCCTTTTTCACCCTTGACATGCAAAGGAAGGACATGCACCCTTTTTCACCCTTTTTGCACTCCTATTTGCCCTCGGTTCTGGGGCCAGTAAGTTCAATGGTGATATCCAAGGCCGTCGCCTTAAGAAAAAAAAAGGAGGAAGAGTACGGAGTGTGGAAGAGAGATGACAGTGTACGAAAGATCAAACGTGACTCAGGAAGAGACGGCGCGCACTCTTCTTGTAATGCTCGTTCCCTGTTCAAGGACGGTCGCATGATAGCTTACTGGAACTGGCTGGTTTCCCATTTTTGCAAGCCCGACGTACTCCAAGTTGAGAATTTGCTAGGGTCGTTTGCACACAATCAGGCACACCCACACCCACACCCACATTTTCGCAAGCCCGACGTACTCCAAGTTGAAAATTTGCTAGGGTCATTTGCACACAAGCAGACACCCACATATGCACCAACAAAAACAGACACATACAGCATCACACACACACACACACACGCACACACACACACACACACACACACACACACATGCCCACACACACACATGCACACATGCACACACACACACATGCACACATGCACACATGCACACACACACACACACACATGCACACATGCACACACGCACACACACACACACACACACACACACACACACACACACACACACACAGATATGAAAGCTGAAAAGTGCATACCTTCCAAAGGCCGTCGTTTAAGTAGTGTACGTTCTCTACTCCCACACCTTTATTGACACTCCGACTGTGATGGCAACCACAAGAGAGAAGAGCCAAGGACATCAGCGCCGATTTTAGCAAGCAGTCGTCTCCTAGTGTGGTGACTGGGTACCAATCTCTCCTTTCATAACCCCTTTGCCTAAGGTTTAAACCACCAGTACATCGTGAGAATTCGAATGGGGCTCTCCGAAAAGTTAGGGGGCTCGGGACAGGGCCCACCTGGGGATGGCATAATTCTTTCTTCAGTTCAGGGCTGGGCCTGGTGCCACCCCACGGCATGGGGCACTTCTTTTTTTTCCCTACTGGTCCTTCAGATGCCCCGTCCCGAGCCTCCGAAATTTTAGCAGAGGCTCATCCGGATTCTGAGCTTCTTGTGCACTGGGGCCATGCACTGGTGGTTTAGCTGTCCCCAACCACACCATGCTTGGCGTGTGGTTCAATCTGTTGATTTTCTTGTGCATTTGTTTTCTTCGAGTTCATGCTGTGACTTGGCAGTCGCCGCAGACTGCTGGCTCGGGGGCCGGTGCTTAGGCAAAACAATGACTGCAGTGACCCTAAAAAAATGAAGAAAAAAAAAAAGAAAAGAGAAAAAAAAAGCAGCTTTGATCGCATGTAGGTCAATACATGGGCACAGATGCAGTGCCCACGGGCCCTGTGCTTAAGAATATAGCCGGTGAAAAAAAAAGCAGCTTTGAACTGGTTGTAAAATATGTTGACTGGGAGATTTGCGCTTAAACCGCCAGTACACGGAGCCTGTTGCATACTGTAACGTGCAGACCAGAACAAGAACCGACCTCTCAATACAAAGTACAAGATAACACAGCGGAAGACTTAGATATGAATGATCCGAACAATCAATATTGCAATGCAGCCCTGAACACACATCATCATCATCGTTATCTAGCGTGAAGGGGGTCTGGCGCTTCGCACAAGAAGACTGCGCCAGCCCCAACCATACACAGAGGAAGAAGGAGGGGTTAGACGAAAGAGGAGGGAAGATGGGAATGTCGTCAACACCAAGTCTCGGTACAGGCCCAAATAGTCCCTCGTCGAAATGTCTGAATCCCAATGTCCAGTCTATATCCAATGTCGTCAAGTCTCAAGTCACAACTCTTTCTCTCTCTGTCGTAGTCTGAGAAGTCAGGTGGCGAGAGGGTGAGAAGAGATGGTGGACTTAGAAGAGGAAGAAGAAGAGCTCTCTCTCTCTCTCTGTGTCCAGTACTAACCTGTGAAGTTGGCGCCTTGATGCAGGTACCACGAAGATGGAGCTGGAGCAATGGCGCCACAGGTAAGTACCACTGGCCTCCGCCAGTATCTCTCCCACTCTGCGATCTACCACCTACCAGCGCCCAGCGCTGAAGACTACTCTATAGCTATAGACGCCCAGCGCCGAAGACTACAGCTAGCGCTAACTCCTGCCTAGCGCTGAAGACTACTGCAGCGCTCCTCCTGAGTGCTGCGGCCGAATCCTGAAGACTACTCGTGCCTACTGACAACTACCTACCCGTGAAGTGCATGGGAACTTCCTATGTACTACCGGGTGTGCCTCCTGAGCCGTGCGTGCAGTTCAGGAGGCTGCTCTTGCCACCCGAAAGGAGGCAGTTCCGCATCCCTGTTTACGTGCCTGAGTCTTAGGGGCAGGTCGAAACAATGAGGGCCTGAAAATGGCCCTCCGTTTCAAGCTGGAAAACCTCTGGGTCTGAAAGACCCAGAAATAGGCTGAAACGGAGTAGGGCCTGCAGGCCCTCGTTTTTCAGCTTTCAGGCTGAAACGACCGGGGCCTGTAAGCCCTAAGTTTTAGGTTTGTAGGCTGAATGTCCGGGACGAGCCCTGCAGGGCCCATGTGGCTATGCAGTATGCCACAGCGCCAGCCTTGGTGAAAAGAAGAACTCGTGGCCTACGAAATTTCGGAGACCCAGCGCCGTAGATAAATTGAATCGGCGGCGGGCGGCCTCCGAAAAGGGCCCGCGGCCGATAGCTGGATGAACTGGTGGTTTCAAAAATTCAGAGGCAACAAAAAACAGCAAAATCTGCTATGAGCCCTCGACAGTCCAGCACAGGAAGCTTCACCCATGCGCATAGAAGGATCAAGAGATTTCACAAACCAATGCAGTACCAAATCCCAGACAGATGGCATCGCAACAGATGGCGTTGCAACTGGATCATCGAGAGATGATTCCACAGATTCCACATTCTATTCCAGTTCCAAATCCCTGAAGCCAAGTACTCTGCAGAACTATCGTGAGCCGAGTAGGCACACACACAAGAATGAAATGCACAACTGCACAATGGTACCAACAACATCAACTCCCTTCCCGACTGTGTGATATTCCTGTGTGTGCGTCGACTCGTCTCCCAATTGTCGTGAGACGAGCCGACACACTCACAGGAATAGCACAGACAACTGTGCAATGGTACCAACAACAACAACTCCCTTCCCGACAGTCCCCCCATAAGGGCCTCCTCAATTTCCCAAATCTCAGAAGTGTGTAAATAACGCTGGATTGAATTCACTGTCCTTGCAGAGACCCGGGCAGAAAAGCGGAACAAGGTCATCTAGCATTTTCAAGGTTTCAAGTACTTCTACTACACAAACGCGAGGCAAAAGCAGAAACGCTGAACACACTCCACCGGGCGCTTGTGTAGTAGAAGAGCGAGCCTCGCTCTTCCACTTTCCCCGCGAGAGTTTGGACAGCCTGTCAAAGAAGAAACGCAAACGCTGAACGTCTGTGTACTTGTGTGAATAGGAGGATGACTTACATGTCTACAGCTGAAAGTTTGGTGTAGCCAATCGCAAGAGCATGCTGCTTTCCCTCTGCCATAATAGCCTGCCAAGTTGTGCCAACAACAGATAATGCAAAGAACCTACCCGTCAGAACTCGATTCATGACCAACAGGGACTTCCAATCAGCTAGCATGATGAGACCGAACTGAAGCCTCATGTCCAACAGGAACTCCCAATCAGCTAGCGGAATTGAAAAATGACAAGATCGCATTAGATACAACAATGCACACCACACTGAAGTGTCTTGACAGGGTGACCTCCCTATTCTCACCTCCATCAAGCCACTGCAAAAGCAGAGAAGTAGATCCTGACTCATGCAAAGAAGTGCCCTATACTCCTGCCCTGCCTGGCCTTTCTAATCTCGGCCCTGTGTGTTAATACAAGAAACATGCAGCCAAAATACGCTGAATAAACAATCAGAACAAAGATCTGTGAATTACCAGACTTTTGCGGGGCCGGGCGGGGGGAGGGGTGTGGCAATGCTCCAATCTAATCCTGGGGAGCAACACGTGCTGGGAACCGGGCCCAGCATTCCTCATGAGACTAAAGAGAACATATTGAGGTACTGGGGCCTTGAGGAATTACGGCATTCACTTCAAAGTCAGAAAGGTTATGCGAGCCCGCATCTTGATGCCAGCTGCCCTTTCCTAGCAGTCCCATTACCTTCAAGGCAAGGACATGGGTTTTCTTTTTTTTTTCTTTTTTTTCCCTTTTTTTTTCCTTTTTTCTTTCTTTTTTTTTCCTTTTTTTTTCCTTTCAGGTAACAAGAAAGGAGAAAAAAAGAAAACCGCACGAGAAGATAGGATGGGAGATGCGAAGAGGAGTAGAAAAGACAGGAAAAGGAACCGAGCAGGCAGGAGTGGAGGAGACGGGAGAAGAGGAGAGGGGAAGAATAAGGAGATGGAAAAGAAGACAAATAAGAAACGAGAGCGAAGGCGAAGCAAAACACAAACCGGCCAGAAAACAGGAAAAGAAGCAAACGGAAAAAGAAGAAACCGGGCAGAAAACAGGAAAAGAAGCAAATGGAAAGAGAAGAAAACATGGGGAATCAGGAATGAGGGCATACTGAAAAAGAGTAGAAACGAACGGAGAAGGAAGGAGTGAGGTTGAGAACAGGAGCAGTAGAACAAATGAGAGAGAGGAGAAAGGAGGGAGAAACATAGCTAACAGAAAGAAAGAAGAGAGGCCTGACAAGGAGAGAAGCAAAGAGAGAGGAAAAGAAAACAGAAGACCGTACATACTACATAGCTTTCTCGCCCTTTCGATGAAGATCAGGTGTAGTATCTGCTCTGGTCAGTTTGATATATGATCCGCAATCCATCGGGACACATTATAAAACAAAAAGAAAAACTTGAAGACCGTAGATGATACCGGGAGAAGAAAAGAGACGAGACAGGAGAGAGCGTGATGAACAACGAACCAAAGAGAAGGGAAGAAAGGCGAGGAGATAAGAGCAGAGGAAAAACAAAGAGAGACGAGGACCGTGTGTCAGAGAGAGGACAGGGAAAGAGAGAGCTAAGAGTCCAAATATACACATTCCGAACACCCCCCTCCCTCTCTTACCAGAAAGAGCAAAAAAAAAAAAGAGAACAAGGAAAAGCAGAGCAAACAAACAAAAAAAACAGAAAGAAAAAAAAAGCAGCAGTAGGAAGGAGAAGGGGGAAGAGAGAGGCTGTTCTGCATACCACTGGCTGTTCTGCAGGCACACTGTCATCAAGCACACCACCTGGGGATGTCATTCCTGGGCACATGATATTGGCCCCAGAAAGTACAAACTTGATAGCGCCCCGATCCACTTGGAACTTTCTCATAATGTCCGGATCTGTTCACACTCAAAAAAAATTGTTCAGCCCAGCTTGTGAAAAAACAACTCTGCCCTCTCTGTCCGACAATCTATCTGTTTTGTTCTCTGCTCGCCGGCGATGAGCAACCGGACTGACGCCCCCCAGAACAGAAGGACTTGTGTTGTTTGGTAAAAAAAAAAAAAAAAAAAAAAAAGAAAAGAAAAGAACATAGGTCCCGCCAATTCGGATGTGGTTTTGCAGAAAGCGGATCAAAAACGAAAAGTATCTTGTGTTTCTGGCCAACCGTTGATTCGCTAATCCACGGTCCACGACGGAGAACAGACAATTTAGGAAAGTGCGACATCACCTACCCCACGGGAAACGAGGTAAGCAATGGACGTTTCCTAAAAAGGAATGGACTGGACCGACAAGACTGGAACTCACCAGGCAGACGCCGCTCGAGGCATTCTCCAAGTAGGACCTTTCCGACTCCGCTCTGCCCGCGATCACGACCAGATACACGCATATAACGTACGGTCATTTCGACTCCATTTGAGCCAAAATACGGCTGTGATGGATGTTTCCTAACCGATTCATTCAGGGGAAGACTGAAGCCTAACACTACTACCTGTAGCCTAAACTTCTTAGGGCCTCGCCACACCATTGTCGAAATGTGAAAAAGACAAAAATGTGGCGGGCGCATCTGGCCATGTTCTAGCGGGAAGTTCATTCTCATTTTGCAGATTTCGAGAGTGGTGTGGCGATGCCCTTATCCTATACACGTTAACGAAACAGCCCCTAACACAGGGCTATGGACCCTGCTAAAGTTCCTTGTGGTGTAACCCTCCCACCGCCCCACATACCTACCATCTACGGCCTTCCTTTTTTTTTTTTTTTTTTGAAAAACAGCACGAGTAAATGCTAGGGGTGCTGATAGGAGCAGACACCACTAACATGCTGGGGTAGGCTCCATCTATTGGTGGGGGGCAACACGTGCTGGAAAGCGGGTCCAGGGTTCCTACTATGCGAAGAAGACGGAGCTTCCTTTTTTCCTTTTTTGTTTTTTCTTTTCTTTTTCTTGGTAGAGGCTGGCTACTAGGCATATGACAGGCCTGCCAGCACCTGACCATTTGATCAGCCCTGTTCCCTGCTAATCAGACTAGATTCTAACTGTTTCCTACCTAGGTAGTATACAGCTGCCTCCTAACAGTACCCTCCCTATATAGCGGGGGTGTTTCAGGAGGAGGCTAAACTTCCTATCCCTATATAGCGGGGGTGTTTCAGGAGGAGGCTAAACTTCCTATCCTCTTTTGCATCGTGATTCGCCGGGGCCAAGGTCCCACTTGCCTCGAGTGCTGAAAAAAAGCAAAGTGACCGGAATTAATGAAAGGGGCGCTTACCGCTTAAGCGTGATTAGGGCAGGGAATTAGTGTTGACACGGTGAGGCTACCATAGCGATGGCAGAGGCTGTGTGCATGGAAGACCGATGCTCCCATCAATTACAAGAGGTAGAGGGAACGAGGAGGAGGGAAGGTGGGTGGAGGTAGAAGGGAGAAGAGAGGTGAAGCAAATGGAAGAGGCAAGTCAGAAGAAATCATTACCGTGAAGGGTAGGAAGGGGATGCTCCTCAGACACACGAGGAAGAAGAGGATGTGTGGTACCGAGAATCCCAAGGGTGGACCAGGGGATTCCACGGTCGATGTAGACAAGAAGGGTGACAGCGAAGAACAAGGGAAGGGGAGGGGGCCTACGGACCAGGAGAAGCGTACCCGGAAGTCCCAGCAGCTGAACAACGCAGAAGCCACATCAACCGATAACAAAGTTGAGTAATACTCTCTCTTTTGAAGTGGGGGTGCTGGCCTTTCCCGACTTTTCCCATGGTTATTGAGGCTGTTAAATTCGTATAGGTAGATTTTCTGTTAGTTTTGGTTTCGTTTAACTGTGTACTGACATTTCGTGACCATGGGTGAACCCGAAAGTTCTGTTAGTAAACCGTCGATGTCTCGTGAGGAGAAGAACAGAATTAGGGGTATTCTGGCAGACTGCTACAATGAGGGTCTTCTCCCAGAAAAGATTACGTCAAAGAACATTGAAATTGGAGAAGACTATGTCAAAGTGGAAGTTGACCCTGCCCTGTACGCGGTATAGGAAGAATGGCTTCACAAAAATGCGGTGTCAGTGTTTTTTGGAAACGACTCCTCGTCCCTGCCAATCAAAGTAAAAAATTGTCTTATTCGAATGTATGAAAACGGTTGGGGGAAAAGTGGAGCAATAAATGCTCCCCCGAAGAGGGGCATTTTTCACAACGAAGAGTACAACTTAGTCATATATGTGGCTTCGGCTCAACAGGTTGCCCACTGGATGTTACGGAAAAGAAGGACAAAATCAGCCTCGATGGCAAAACTTATACGGTCTCCTTTCGTCCGTGGATGTCTGAAAATGAACTTTACAAACGGAGAGAGGCTCACATGTATAAATACTTCTGGACAAGGCGTATGTATGTGTTAGTGGCTGCTTTGCCGTACGTCGCAACACCAGTCAGGGAAGAGTTTGGGACAATTCTAAAGAAGTACGACACATACACAGAAGTTACATCCCAGAGCTGATCAATATTCGTTTTGATTTAGAACCAGGAGCACGTATCCGCTACAAACCATATGTAATTATTGATATGAAGAACGGAGGTCACGTAGAGATTGAGATCGTTCACGCCCGGACACCTTGGTGTCGGGTGTATAGGCAGTATTTTCACTCCGAAGTCGATGATGCCTGCCCGACCAAAACTAAATCGAGACTGGCACCAAAACGAAAGGAAAGGGGGGCCAAGACCCCTAACCAGACGACCCTTAGTCAGGTACAGAAGGGGACAAGGGGTCGACAAGGGTGATCCCTCAAACGGGGTTCAAGACTCGGGAATATCGAAGCAAAAAGGAGTGGAAGAGAAAATCTCGGGAGGGAAACCGGATCAGAAGAAAACGGATGAGAACAGTCCCCGCCCAGACGAAGAAATAAAGGATGCGGGGAAGGAGGGTATAGGGAAGGAAGGTGACTCAGAAGCCCATCAAGGGAGGTAAGGGAAGTGCGACAGGAAGGGTCAGGAGGGGGGTTATCATCCCCAACCCCTACCCCTTTTAAAGACGCTCTCTGTACCCCCCTTGCCAAAACGAAAAAGAAAAACAAGCCCAACAGAAAAAAAAGAAAGGAAATCAGGGTTGTTCCAACGAAGGAATGGAGACTGAACCCGAAAACCAAATCCATACAGGTGGAAAAAGCCCCTGCCAACCAACTGTCAGTGGTAGAAAAGCAGAAAGGATCGGAAAACGCGAATCACGAAGAACAGACTAAAGAAAAGGGGAAAGAAAGGTCTGATATGGGAGGAGAAGGGAAGACAACTCGACAGGGTACTCAAAGAGATATGAGGGAAGAAGTGACGAAGAAAGGGAATCTCCTTTCCCCGTTCTCGGTGAATCCCTCCCCAAACCCCCCCTCATGTAATCAGATCCCCCTTAACAATGAAGCAGTTTTCGATCCGAGCCCCAAGGTTCTAACCACAGGTTCATAACACTCGCCCGCGGATACTAAATTATCCGAAGAAACGGATGACCGTGGAAATGCTTACCCACCTCCTTATAGGATCATCTAACTACATCTCAGTATATGACAACAAGTTGTACGAGGGGGCACAGTCCGAAGAGGAAGCAATCACAGAAAATGACATGTGGATGAATTCAGTGGCCGCTAATAAAAAGATAATCTCGTGTACCTCAGAGGATGAGGGAGCACCCTTAGACAAAGACAAGGATGAGGAAACTGATGATGACCAGGAAGAATAGGAACATGAATTTTATTCTCCGATTGAAGGAATGTTCAACATGCCGGAGAAGGGAGAAGAAAACGCAGAAAAACAGCAAAGGCAAATAAGAATGATGGATCTCCCTCAACCTTTTATCTTCTCTACCCCGGCGCCAATGCTCCCCATTGAGAAACTGCGAAGGAGCCGCCAAATCGGCACATGCAAACACCAGCCTCATCAGTAAAAAGACCGAGAATCGAAGGATTAGCTTGGCAAGTCCTACTAAGAGAGGACGGAGTGGGAAAAGAGTCTGAAGAGATTTCACGTAGCTCCCCTCTGAAAAGAGGAAGGTCTCAGACCTCCCGCCCGACCCGACAATCCCTGGCTTTGGCTGGTCCCTTGCGAACGCTCTCCCGGGGGAATAAGGCAAAGAGCATGATTCCAGACTACCTTATCCCTCTTATATGCTCGCTTGATGGTCCTAAGTCATGATTCATGACCATTATGAGCAAAGATGAATCCCTGCTCCTGCCATCTATACAGTTACGAAGCTCAGCTTCCCCAATAATGATTTGTAATCTAATTAAAATCCAAATATTACAGAATGTGAGAGAAGTGAGGTTGCTTCCAGAGCCAAAGACAACACGTTACCTGGTGGATATGGTAGAAGGAGGTAAAGCACGTCTGTTATTCGCCTTTGCAGACCTATCATATATAACAGACAATAAAGCCAAATGGGACGAACTAAAGATATATTGGGTAGAGTTACCTCATTTGGCTTCTCCTCATTCGGACACAATCCAGACTATCAGACTCTTATCTGGGATGTCGGCACATATTGTAGCAGAGTGGCTGTCTCAAACTGATAACAAATTCATCCTGTTGCCAGAGGCTTTCACTGAGACCCTTCACAAAAGAAGAACAGGGAAAAAAATATTTTTTCTGTGGGGGAAATGTTCTTAGCTGACCCTCTGATGACAGGGGAGGGAGACACAAACCGCATCCAATCCCTGAGCAACCCAACAAGCAAGGATGGTTCTACCTAGTGGAATTAGACTTGCGAGTTGGAACGTTCGAGGACTTGGAGGTATGAATGATACATACAAAAAACAGCGTTTGACATCTTGGATTTACTCACAACATATCCAGATCATTTGCCTACAAGAAACGAAGATTGAGCCGGATAAGATGACAAAAGTTCTAACTGGTGGGGGGGACCATAAATTTGATCCCCTGCGGTAGGAACCCGGGGGGTGGTTGCCATCCTGGTGGACAAAAATATGGATGTTGACATAATTGATTCCTGTGTAGACACTGAAGGCCGTTGGACTTGGCTTAAACTTGCAGTGACAGACGAGGACTGGGCGATGGTCTCGATATACACATCAGTTGATTACAAAGATAGGATCAATTTTTTTGCAGATTTACCAAAATTTGTTCCAGACACAGAAAAACTGATAATGCTTGGAGCTAGAACTGCATTATGAACCCGAGACCTGATTCCCCAAATATGTTCTCAGTACGTGAGGATGCATTGCTGCTAAATTCCTTTATGGAATCCCAGGACCTGCTAGACGTATACAGAACGTTAAACCCATACTCACATGCGTTTACCTCGCACGGTCCGCGCCCTTTAGCCAGAACCCCAGTCCCCAAGAGACGCTTGGACTTTATTTTGGCTAGGTGGCACCCGTGGGACCGATGTATGTGGGCGGACGTGCGGGTGTTTTCCCTGTCTGACCACTACTCGGTTCTAATGGATGTCAACTTCAAAGAAACGATTAAACGTCATAGATCGCCTTTTAGACTTAACGTATTAATC